GTCCCAAGGAGTGCACATTGGCATTGTTGATGGAGCCTTTGGATTGCCTCCAAAGTACACCGAGCCTCCGCTCATTAGTGACATTGACACGACCTATCAGCACCTCAAAGGTGTGATTGGAGTTACTACTCAATTTGATAAACTTGCCAAAGTTTTTTTTGGAGAGTGTAATCGATGTGCCAGAAAAATAAACCATTCCAGGAGGGCTGTCTGGGGGGCAAGAGGCAGTACACACCTGTCATCACAAGTCATTTTGTTCACTCTGACAGGCAATCATCTCAAATGCAGACCAAAGTGATTAAAATCCACAACACCAGCTATTCTAATTCGAAAAGGAAGAAAAAAAGCCAAAACAAACCAAAAGAAAACAAAGTTCACGCTTACAAGTGGAGGAGGGAAACACCACCTGCATCCACTTCTCCCTTTTTGCCTTCATTTACTACCGCATAAATCACTGCCACCAAATCCCTCTGCTAAGGCACTACGAGAGCATTCACAACTATTGCAGTGAGTAATAAGAAAATCTCAATAAAATTTTATTTCAAGAGAGAGCATTTTTCAGGGAGCCCTGACACTCACATTGCAGTGCCAAAAAAGAAAAAAAAATAAAGAACATCCCCCTACGCACTTTTCGCCTTCTAAATTAATTACCAAAATTAAAAGGAAATGCCCGAAAGACCTTCAAAGTAAAGGCAGCAACTACACAAAGAACACTTAAGTGCAATCGTGACTTCTAACGCCCTAGTGGAGGACACTGGAGGCACCAGTGGATGGTGAAGGCAGATATCCCCTCTCAATCTCTACAACCGATTCCTTGATTTGTGTTAAAAGGTGGTAGTGGATTCAGACAAGAGGGTGGCCTAAATGTTTTGCACTTACATCGCATAGAGGCACATAGAACTCGGCAACAATGATCGGTTCCTCCACCGGTGGGGCACAACCTGCTCGAACTACTGTTGGCCTCGGCTCCACCTCATTGGTCGTCTTCATACCAACTTCCACATTTAATTGAGTTTTTAAGCCATCCAATTCATAATCGCGATGTGGTGTGTATCCATGACGCAGGAGAAGTGAAGTTTTGTCTATGCCTAGGGGTGTCTTCACTACCTCCTTGTTCGGCCATAATGGATGGTCGGCAGTGTTTGATTTTGATGAAGTGAATGAGAATGAGTTGGAGGGATGCTCCACACTGACACTGAGATCGTGCGATCGAGATGGGAGAGTGAAGGGGTCACGAGTTGGTTTATCAAATCTCAGAGGTTGATATAGTGTCTCTTGGCCACATCCCTCCTGATCGAGATTGCGAACTTTGGATAGGTAGGGGAAGTAGATGTCCTTTTGAGGCGATGGAGTGTCAGCAAAAGCGGAGGGTGGATCCACAACAACACTGCGACTAACAACATTCACATCTGGTTTCGGTGAAGAGGGAGGTGTGCTGGAAGAGGAGAGAGGAGTTGAGTCCGAGGGCACGGTATCAGCACGCTCCAACACCATCGTAGAGGCGTCTGGACGATGAACTTGAGTAGCAAACGACTCCGAGGTGGTGGAACTATGATTTTGTGAGGAGTGATCTACGCTGTCTTGACGATCAAATTCATATGATGATGTCGTGGAGGAGGAGAGTGAAGGTGTTATACGATTATTTGTTGCTCCCTCTTCCTCTTCTTCCTCCTCCTCCTGCTTGTTTGTCTTCTCCTCTTCATCAGCCTTGCTACTGTTCCACTCCGAAACAGTGGCATCCTTCTTTTGCGACTTGTCCACTACGCTTTTTGTGGAACCACCTTCGTCCGGTTTTGTGTTCTCGGTTTGA